CCCCAAAACCCCAAAACCCCAAAACCCCAAAACCCCTTTTTAAAAGGTTTTGACTGAAATTGCGTATAATAGTTTAAAATTATTTAATGCTTACAAGATCATTAATCTCTGGACAAAGGAAGTACTTCATTAGAGTTTTTTCAACTTCAAACAAACAATATGACCTCACTGTTATTGGGGGAGGTCCAGGAGGCTACGTTGCTGCTATTAAAGCTGCCCAACTTGGCTTAAAGACTGCTATTGTTGAGAAACGTGGATCCTTAGGAGGTACTTGACTGAACGTTGGATGAATCCCCTCAAAAGCCCTTCTCAATTCCTCTCATAAGTACGAAGATATGAAGGAGAACTTTGATACTTACGGAGTTTACGCTGACAACGTCAGGTTTGACCTTGGAAAAATGATGAAGCAGAAGGACGCAGCTGTGAGAAGTTTGACTAGGGGAATAGAATTCTTGATGAACAAAAACAAAGTTGACTACTACAAGGGGTGGGGTAAGTTTGCAGATTCTACTACCATCTCTATTGATCTAAATAATGGGAAGACTAAATCTATTAGATCAAAGAACACTATCATTGCAACAGGAAGTGAACCTTCTCCTTTTCCGGGAGGTAAATTAAGCATCGACGAAAATAGGGTAATCAGCAGCACAGGAGCATTGTCCTTGAAAGAAGTGCCCAAAAAGATGATCCTAGTTGGAGGTGGAGTCATTGGCCTTGAAATGGGAAGCGTTTATAGCAGACTCGGGACTGAAGTAGTAGTGGTTGAGTTCATGGATAGAATTATGCCAAACTTCGATAAGGAAATATCTTCCACCTTCACCAATATTCTCAAGAGGAGAGGCTTTAAGTTCATGTTTAATACAAAAGTTGTAGGAGGAAGCTTAAAGAAAAATGGAGCGGCTCTTCAAATAGAGACAGTAGATGGAGACAAGCTCGATGATCTTGAAGCTGACTACGTCCTTGTGGCAACGGGAAGAAGGCCATACACTGAAGGTCTTGGACTAGAAAATATTGGTGTAACTCCTGATGTGTTTGGAAGGATCGAAGTTGATGATAAGTTCACCACAAATGCACCCAACATTTATGCTATTGGAGATGTCATAAGAGGCCCAATGCTTGCACATAAAGCTGAGGAAGAGGGAGTTTGAGTTGTTGAGAATCTGAAGGGGTTAAATGGACATGTTAACTATGATGCGATTCCTGGAGTTGTATATACTCATCCTGAAATTGCCACTGTTGGAAAAACAGAAGAGGAACTCCAAGAGGCTAAAGTGAAATACTCAGTTGGGAAATTCCCATTCTCAGCTAATAGCAGAGCAAGAACTAATAATGAAGCAGATGGATTTGTCAAGGTGCTTACTGAGAAAGACACAGATAAGCTTCTAGGAGTTCATATGATAGGGAGCAATGCAGGAGAATTGATTGCTGAAGCAGTCATTGGTATCGAATATGGAGCAACATCAGAAGATATATCTAGAAGTTGTCATGCTCATCCAACACTTTCAGAGGCCATGAAAGAAGCAATGATGGCTGCCCATTTCAAAGCTGTTCATGTGTAACCAAGCCCATATTTAATGATAAATTCATGAGCGACAATTTCAATCAAAATAACCACTTTAGGGGTTTTGGGGTTTTGGGGTTTTGGGGTTTTGGGGTTTTGGGGTTTTGGGG